AAACAAAATATAAGATAAATAAGAGAAAATGTGGTAAATAAAAAATTAATAACAAAAGTTTGATAATTAACTAGAAAAAACACCTAAGAAACTTGGAAACACATCAATAACAAACTATTCCAACCATTTAATATTTGTGACAGTAAATAAAAACTTTATAAATTAGTATGGGACACGTGCCATAACTTTTACAATGTAGATCCGCCCCTGTGCTCCTCTATGGCTTGTTTGGCTCTTCGTCGTTATGTATTATGTCTGTTTACCAAAGCTCATGAGATGGGTGGGGACTAAGAATAACCATCCAGGTGATGCCACACAACCATCAGTCCCTGATCAGGCATAAGTTTACACTTGTAGCTTGAGTTCTTATCAACCGTTCTAAATAAGAGCTGAGTTTTGGTGTGAGTGTACAACAATCAGACCGGAGGTCATTAACTCGAACCAGAATTCCAAACTAAAGATAGATTTAGTAATTTATTTTAATTCTGATTTATTTTTTACTTATTTATCGTTTCAGTCAATAAGTCAATAAGATAAGAAGAGAACTGATCTTCCTTGTGTTAAGGAACCAACTCTTCCCTTTTTCCACTTCCCTCATTTGTAGGAGTCGAGTAGTACTTCACCACTTTGTTTATGCATCTATTTAAATCAATGAAAAACTAAAAAGAGGCAATATCAATTGTCCAAAACAGTATCTGCAACAGTTTTACTTGCTTTGTTTTCTAAAGCTTTGATTACGGTCATAAACTATCAACGTACGTCTTGAATTCTGTTATTTTCTTAATTGTTTGTACTATTCCCCAGAAACTAGATTAGTTTATAATCCCCATGTAATTTTTTATAAATGTGTTACGACTGTGGATTCGTGGAGTCTATATTAAATTAAATTAAATTTTAAGAGTTCTACAAAATCTATCAGATATGTGCTTGTATCTTTCCTATTATTTTATAATTCTTGAAAATTATAAAACTAGTCTCCGTCATTCATCTCTGATCTCTTTCTTTCAATATGCCGTGTCTTTGGTTAACGGTGGCCAAGAGAGGTTCGGATATTTTGATTTGTATATTAAGTCCTGTTCTTTTTGTTATCGCTGATGCAGCTACCAGCGACTAAAAATTATAAAGGGAAACAAATAATTAATGGCTGCATCCTCCGTTAGTTTCTGTCGCTGGTTTTTTTAAAAAAACAGCCGCATCCCGTCTTTTCATCGCCGAATTTTTATAGCGTCGCAAATTCTATAAATTCTTAGTTGCTAGACTTTGTGGCGTCTATTCCTTGTGGAATGTATTATTGCCGCAGCGACAACAAAAATAACAGGGCTTTAAATCGCAATCAGGAGATGACTTCAGTACCGAAGCTCATCTGCGTGGAGACTAAGACTAACCATCCAGGTGACACAGATCCACCAGTCCTTTGATCAGGCGTAGTAGTTTACACTTGTAGCTTGACTTCTCGTCAATCGTTTTAAATAAGAGCTGAGTTCTGGTGTGAGTGTACCTACCTACCAGTGGCGGAGCCACATGAAGAGTATGGGGGGCAGTTGTCCTGATGAAATTTTTTTTTTTAGTGTTATTTTGCTAAAATCAAATTTTGCTACTCTTCAAATATATTTTTGATTTTACATGATCTGCTCCTATGAAAATTGATTCTAAATCCGCCTCTGCTACCTACGTCTTGAATTCTGTTATTTTTAACAATATTGTTGTATGAAATTGACGTTAATATATTTCTAAAAAACTTAGTCATTAATTAAAATTATCAGGACACTCCTTAATCATAAACAATCTAGAAGAAACTACTACCATGCATGGAGCTAACGTATATTTTTGGGACAACGTAGAGTTGATTTAATTTATTTTTTACTTTTATATTTAAAATGTCTAGTTTGGTAATTTAGTCATTTTTATTTTATTATACAGTTATTCAGTAAAAAGAAAATATCATTCCTGCATTTTGTTGTTGTGCAATTTCGTTTTTTGTTATTCAGATATATTTCATTCATATGATTCCGCTATTTTTTGTTATTTTTTTTTGAATAACATTTTCTTGTTTCCGCTATTTTTTGCCGTTATGACTTCCGTTATCTTTAATGGTATATTTACATGAAGCCAGTAGCTCCACAAAACAATTTGCCGAAATTTTATAATTTACGTATAATAAAGATCTAAAAATTACATTAAATTTTGTAAACATTAAAATTATGAAAAAACCTGGTAACTGAAGATGTTGATCGGAGCGTGGCAAAAAAAGCCTTCCCCACAATCCAACAGCTAGCTTTTCTTCTCCGCGTGGTTACAAAAACCACCGTGATATTGTCGACCACCACCGCCACAGAAGATGCATCAACCAAAACCGAAGCTCCTCCTGATTGCGATTTAATATACAAGGACTGGTTATTACCGATATTATAAATCATAATATCCGAACCTCTCTTGGCCACCGTTAACCAAAGACAGGGCATACTGAAAGAAAGAGATCAGAGATGAATGGCGGAGACTAGTTTTATACTTTTCAAGAATTATATAAATAAAAGGAAAGAAATAAGAATATCTGATCGATTGAACTATTAAAATTTAATTTAATTTAATATAGGAAAAATAACAGACTCCACGAATCAGGATGTAATCTGCCGGCAATATATAGAGGCAAAACACTAATTGTTATAATGAAAAATAAAAAAATAGGATTTATTTTAAAGATACATTTATCCAAATATCTGAACATCAATTAGTCAAGTTTTGTGTAAACTAATTATAAATATAAAATATGCGGAATGAATTTGAAAAATACTTGTTAATTTATAATTTTAATCATTTCATTTGTATTGTTGTGAATGATATATTTTTAGCAAAATCACGTTTTTAAAACGTGAAAACGTGAAAAAATTGGATTGTGTTAATTCTAATTTCTATACATATATAAAATGTCTCTGCAAATTTATATTCAGCTATTTGGATAGATGTATCTTCTACGCATATAACATTACTTTTCAAATTTCTTAAAGTTATGTATGTTTTTCATCTGTTACATACAATTTTTCAGTTATAGTTGGCCTATTTGATTGATGTTTGGTTTATTAATTTTTTGTATTATTTAGAAATAATTGACGTCTATATTTCTCATCTTTTAATACATGTATACCGCCGAATGAAGGTTTACTTATGCAACATAAGCGAATGTCATACTTTTGTAGCCTTCATTCGGTCTGTAAGCATTCCAATACGATAATGCGGTTTTGAATTTTGATATTTTGATTCATAGATCAGCAGTGAGATATCAAATATACATGATAGCAAATGCACCAAACAAATTTCATAACTCTGATAAATTATCGTTCATGCATCAGATATATGCTATTTTGTTCATCCTTTACATCTGGAATTTTTATAAAAAAAAACATAACTTTGTTTCTGGTTTCTAGAGATTATGGGATTGTGAATGGTGAAGATGACATTGTTTCTGATAGTGACATTGTTTCTGTAGAATATGGCTGTGAGGTCTTGTAATGAGAGTTAAAATAGAGAGACCATATATGTGGTGGAAGATGCCATTTGTGCTTGTCAAGTACTGTTCATTTAGGATTGGTCCTGTTTGGTCTGTCTCTTTGGCTGCAGATGTGATATGGGTTTTGTTCTCTTGGGTTACAATTGACGATAAGGTACATTATATTGAAAAGGCAAGCTCAAAAGGTTTCATCTTAAAGTAACAATCGACGATCAGGTACATTTGGTTTTATATTGACACTGAAGCTGATTGATTAATTTAGCTTGCGTTGATGCCAAGTAATTTGGTTTTTTTTGAAAGATTATCCCGTCATGCCCTAAATGCAAGGGTGGATTTTCGTAGTTAATATGTTCTTGGAATTGTTTTAAATCAAGAATAAAAAATTGCTTAGGCAGCATCTCCTGCACACCAAATCCTGAGTTTTGATATTTCCAAATATTTTCATAGTTTTGACTAATCTGTGTTTCCTAATCTAGTCAAACACGCCTAAGGAAAGTGTAGTTGTGCTTTCTTGGCTCCTTAAGCTGGCTTTCTTGGCTCCTTAGGTTGAAAATCAAGATTAGGAAACTGTAGTTGTGCTTTCTTAGTTTCTTGGCTCCTTAAGTTGGCTGATTTTCGTTGATGACAAAGGTTGAGCGTGGTCAATTGGTTTGATCTGTTTGAGTATTATGTGACCCGGTCCATACTTGAAGTTTTCCAGCTTCATTAGTTGCGCCTTGACCAGCTCCTTCTCTTGGCTTCTCTTGATCAGCTTGGGCGATAGCTTGCATTATGCTCTGGTTATACTTGTGTTAGAGTGTCCTTATTCGTTGTTTGATTATGACTCCTCCAAAAGTGTTATGAACCTCCACATCTTGCAAGTCTGGCTTGGTCAAGTCCGGTTCAGCTAAGATGGCCTCTTCACAGAGGTAAGAAGGGTCCCTGTGATCCGCCTTGCGCTGCCTTCTCCTGGCACATGACCGGTTTTGAGCCTTAGAGGAGAAGCTGTTCATACAAATCATCATGTTATGTACCAAAAGAGTAGAGATACATCTGTGTTTGTGTCGTTTTAAGGTTTTATGCAATCACTTTTCAAAGTCTTGTCTCTGTCATGGGAGTCAAGCCGAGTGATCATTCTTGTGTTTTACTAACCAAAATGTATTGAGATTACTTGAGCCTGCACATCATTTGATAAACCAGGATCCAGAGGCTAAAGGTCTCTCTATGCTCGACTGTTTATTTTCATGATTGAGAATGACCAACGAACAACTGTCTTTAGAGAAATAACCACCACAACAAAGCCTCTTCAATTTGAATTTCATAGATTAGCCGAAAAAAAACTATTTGGATTTCAAAGATTGGATCAAATTGCATATTGCACTAATATTTGTAATATAAAAAAAAATAGAATCCCAAAACGAAGACTCAAACTTATTTATACAATAAGCAAACACTGCTACTTTTCTTTTATCTTACATTCTCAAATACACTAGTAAATCTTTCCTGTCTTGAGTCTTCAAATCTTAGTACGATCCGGATCAGATTCCGAAACCAGAGCAGAAACATATTGGTCAGTATCAACCGAGGCTTCGCTCTTGCTTCTACCACTTTCCGGTCTCCTCCTCCTCTGCACATCACCGTTTCTTGTGCCTTGTGAATCACTAGAAGCTTCATACAAGGTCACGGACTTTCCTCTGCTATGGAGATTACTCATGTTTTCGTCCTCCGCATCGCCGTCTTCCTTAAGAGTCTCGAGGACTTCTACCACATGGTTCATGAGTGGTCTTCCTTTCGGGTTTTGGCTTAGGCATTGGTATGCTAAACCGGCTACTTTCATCAACGCCTTTGTGCCGTATTGTCCATCCATACGAGGGTCTATGATCCTCAAAAGCTTTTTGTTGTGGTTCAGTAGCGGTCGTGCCCACTCGACCAAGTTATGCTCACGGCAAGGTCGGCTTTTATCCATCGCCCTCTTCCCGAGGAGCATCTCAAGGAGAAGTACTCCGAATCCATAAACATCACTTCTTGATGTCAAATGTCCTAAGTACAACAATCACAAATCACAAATATATCCCATTTACAAAAGCAGTTTCATAATATGATCATATCAACATGCACATACTTAAAAGGGTTATTTTTTTAACTCTGGTAAACAGAAACAGCTATGAATTTAGTAGGTGCTTGTATCAGTTACCAAAATTAGATGCCAGAGAAATGCTTATGGTAAAGAGTAAAGACAGACCTGTCATTACATATTCGGGAGCAGCGTATCCGTAAGTGCCCATAACACGTGTTGAAACATGTGTTTGGTCTCCTCTGGGACCATCTTTTGCTAGTCCAAAGTCTGAGAGTTTAGCATTGTAACACTGCACAAGCATTTACACCTTTCAGAGGCAGCATACAAAGACAAATCGACAAAAGTAGAAAACACGATCATTTGTATACTTTTGAACAAGAATCAGATTCAATAGCTGACCTCGTCCAGCAATATATTTGCTGTCTTCAGATCCCGATATATGATGGAGCGTTCGGCACCATGAAGAAACGCGAGACCCTTGGCTGCGTCTAGTGCAATCTTCATTCTTTTAGACCATGTCAAAGTGCATCCAACTCCTGCCAGGTGATGCCAAGAGAAGAAACATTTGCTCAACAAAACCATTTTTTAATATGTATATGCGAACACATAATCTGTATTTTTTCCTTGCATATGCATTTATCAAATCCTCTTCAGGATATTCATAATAACAACTCATCTGAACATTTAGCCATTTCTTTTCAATTTATATATTACTAGTTACTGTTCCCATCTTATCTGAACATAATATGTATTATTTTATTTTTTTTGAATCTTCATGTTTTACAACTTTCAGCACCAAGAGAAGAAACATGTAGTCAATAAAAACATTTAAGATATGTGTATGGGAACATAATTTGTGTTTATCTATGCATATGCTTTATCAAATCCTCTTCAGGATATTCATAATGACAAAGATCCATTGACTTTCCCTCTAACAACTCGTCTGAACTTTTAACTATCTATTTTCACTTCATATATATATCACTAGCTACTACTACCATCTCATCTGAACATAATCTGTGTTTTATTTTTCTCCAATCTTCCTGTTTTTAGATGAATAGGAACTTACTTCGAAAGAGATGTTTCTCCAGGCTCCCCATTGCCATATACTCATAGACTAATAATCTGTGATCATCTTCACAGCAATAGCCAATAAGCTTCACCAGATTCTGGTGGCTAAGCTGTCCTAAATAGTTAACTTCAGCCTGCCAAAAAAAAATCGAATATCAACAACTCCATATCTCTTGATTCAACAAGCACATAGAAGAAAACAAATCGAAACCAATTTTTACCAGCCACTCTCTATCTCCTTGAAACCCTTCAGGATTAAGTTCTTTAATGGCAACTTTCGTAGACTTGTAACCAGGCCTCACATTCTCATCAATAACTCCTTTATAGACAACTCCGAAACCTCCTTCGCCGAGAATGTAATCTGGCCTGAACTGCTTAGTCGCCATCTTCATCTCCTCGTAGGTGAAGATATCGACATTCTCGTATCCAGGATTAGACTGAAGATCTTTGATGTTCTTAGGAGCCAAGGGCAAACCACTTGCACTTGATTTACCAATTGAATCTTGACAATCAGAATTCATTAGATACACAGACGAATTCTTCCCTGATGATTTCCCTGAGAGAAAAAAAACCAATAAATAAAACTCAATAGAACGTCAGAAGAACCCTAGAAGCAACAAAAAGGGGTCAAATCGAAAACTCAGTAACAACAACAACAAACAAATAAAAGAGAGAGAGAGAGATCAAAATCAAAATCAAAATCAAAATCAAAATCAAAATCAAAGTCAGATTGATTGATATATATACATACCTGTAGACTTCTTCTCTTGGTGTTGAGAAAATTGGTACTGCTCTTCAGCGCTAAAGCAAATCCCCATGAAATTCAATAAACTATTTCAAAACAAAACCCGTTTGGTTTTTCTGTGCTATTCGATTGTCATCATCACATTGTCCATCAACGAAGACAGATCCAGAAGAAAAAACACATCCGAGAAATCTCCGAAAAACTCGGGAGGGAGAAGAGGAAAAATGGAGAATAGATGGTTTCTCGGAGAGTGAAGGAGAGAGAAGGGAAAAAAAAGAAAGTAGAGATGATAATTGTAGAGAGAGAGAAGAGAAAGAGAAGAGAGAATGAATGATCCGTTGGAATCGATGGATTTGAGACTAGCCGCCAAAAACGCAAGTGGATAAAAAATCCTTTATAGGCTGTTTTTGGTCAACCGATGCTACTCTTCATTCGATTTCTACGTCTCTCTCTGAATCAAATCCGTTCACAAAATTTTCATGTAATCTTGATCTAAAACTCGAATTATTAATAATGATTTTGAATTCAAATCCGATTCATTCTGAATAAATAAGTTCTTTGAACCTCGGAGCTGCAAAAAATGGAAGAAGAGTTTACAGAGGATGATCCCCGGAGAAATCGAGATCGAAATCCCAAAATCCGGCGGTGAAAAAATCAAAACAATATGTAAATGAAAGTATTTAAAAAACATTAGTTGGGGCCAGTAAGGGTATATATATATATATATATATACTATAAAATGATTTATTTTTGGGTAACCCAAATATTTTGTTTTCGGAATAAATGTTGAACTATATAATTTAATGTTTTCTCAATTGAAATAAATGTACTGTAACGTTGAATGGAGAAGCGCGTTCGAAGAGGTTTCTGAGTCAAACTGGTGAAACACTTTGTTACTTTGAGCAAGTCTTTGTCCGAATCCGACGACCTCGAAGTTGCTGATGCAAGACGACCCCATTGAAGTTTGATTGATGGAACTTCGTGTTCATCATTTTGCTTGAAGCTGGACCAGTTTAACATCATTAAAGCTGTGTTGATTCGTTGAAAGGAGTAAGCTTTACTCAAATAATGTTGCGTTGCTGCAAAAAGTAAAGTAGCCGTACAGTTTCAAGCTTGAATTGTTCAATGATTGTCTTGTCATGGCCTTAACTCCAAAGCTAATACCGGGACTAAGCTAAGTAAGGTCATAAAGTGACAACTAGAAGACAATTTGGTAACAATGTTGAACAGAGTTTAGAGAATCTTTCAACAGAAAAAAACAAAAACAATTTTCTAAAATGCATTTCACTACCATAACACGATAACATTCAAAACATTCTCTAATCTTCAGCTTCTGGAACCGGGATAGAAATACTCAATACCATTTTCTTTGATCTTGAATTGAAAATTCTGCAACTTGCTCCTCGAGCTTCTGCTTATCCCCTTGTTCAGAACAATCAACTGTATATGAAACAAGCCAGCAAAATTATTAAGACACCAAGAAATTACCAAGTTTGAATTAGTGATTTAAAGAAAATATAAGTAATGAAATTTATTACTTGGCCATGTACATCATTTGCTAAACCAGAGGCTAAAGGCTCTGCCTTTATGACAACATCTGCAAGGCATACCATATGTAGCAAAAACGCAGGTCTCTCCATGCTCGAATATATATCTTCATGATTGAGAATCACCAGCGAACAATCCTGTATTTAGAGAATAATATTAAGAATACCCCGGTAAGACAAGGAAGAAGAAGAACCCTATCATGTACTTCAGATTCTTTAAACCAAGGATCTGACTTACGGTTTCAGAAGTTAAAGAGTGACAGTAGTGCAAGAAGTCCAAGACGCGATCTGAATTGCTACCGGTAGCAGCAATTTCAAGGAGAGACATGTCATCGACCATAACGGTTATGTTGCTATTAGTTAAACTGCGTAGCTTTCGAACCGTTTCTTGTATCTCCCGAAATAGTTTTGCAACAGCACTTACATTGTCTTCGATTTCTTCACCATCTGTTAAAAGAAATCCAGCAAAAATAAAATGTTTTCATGTCTCAAAAAACGGAATTACTAAAAAGGTTTAAAGATGACACAAAACACTGAAACACACACTACAAGTAGATAGAAATCAAAACAGAGACATGTTCTGTTTAGATATACAAGTAAAACGTGGAAATATAATTCTAATTTGTGATCAATTAGGTTCAAAAAGGTTTAAAGATGACACAGAACACTGAAACACCCACTTAAGAGTAGATAAAAATCAAACAGAGACCTTTTCTGTTTAACAATATAAAACATGGAAGTATAGTCGAAAGCTAGACATAAAAACTCATCATATACACTTTCTGATAGATTCTGAATCAGACTTGCAAGGAGCAGAAACAAAAATGCTACTTTACAAAAGAAGAAGCGATGATCAAAACAATCAAGATAACCAAAAACCAAAACCAAAGCACTCCCAAACATCCAAAATCCAAGATCTCTCTATATGTCTGTCTAACCATTTAAGTATGCTTTATCAAAGACCAAACTAGCTTGTTAACTAAGTGCTCGTTTATTATCACTTTCACAAACTAAAATCTATCGATCATGAAGAATCAAGTGACAAAACAGAAAAAATTTACCTGATAATCTCACCTGAACACTTCATCATAAGCATGTCGAAGAAAACCAATCTATTGTTTGTCTTTTGAGCGGCTAAATTGCATCCCTATCCATAAACCAAAAACACACACGTACATGGTAAGAGTAATAAGACACTGAGATTCCTTGTAGCCATGAAAATGGGACACAAAGATCGAATCTTTTTACCAGTTTACGCAGGATTCGATCATAATGAGAGAAAGGACGAGCAAAGGCGAGAAAGATAAGGGCGTCAGAGGAATTAGTGGAGAGAACACGCTTCATCACCTGGTGAAGCACAAAGGAACCACTAGTCTCTACACAGTCCTCGATTAGTACTACTTTCCCACTTAGAGGCGATGGATCAAGTAGCTGCTGATCAAACCCTAAGGCTAAATCGAGTAGATTCAGGGATCGATCCATGGGATAAGGCTTACACCGTTGAAGCAAACTGAGAAAAAAAAAAGCAATTTTAAGATGTTTGGTCTTAGAGATATGAAATAAAGAGGTGGAAATAGCATACTAGGAAGAGACCTACAAAACGAAGGAGAAGAAGAAGAGGTACCACGAAACTCGAACGACGGTGCCGGTGGAAGAAAAAGAGAGCGTCGGCGCGGCGGTGGAGAGCAGAACGGAGGAGGAAGATCAAAAACTAATTGGGATTTTTAATTTCTTTTTCTTTGAAGAAACCTAATTGGTATTCAAAATTTCGGTTTGGGATATATGGTTCTGAAAATTTCAGTTTGGTTTACAGATTTCCTTTACGGTTTTGATATCTCAATATTTTTTTTTTCTAAAATCTACAATCTTATTTCAAGAAAAGAAAAAATACAACTAAAGCTTATGAAGTAATTTTGCATCTCACTAACTAGTAGTACACCATACTAATTAATGGTTTTAGTTGACATAACATAATAACTGTATAATAAATTACTAAAATCAATAAAATAAGTAAATTAAAAACAAAATAAACCCCTAAAAAGCTATTAAGTTTGAATGGTATGTAGCTTATTCACGTTTTCATGATTTGAAAACGTGATTCCATTAAATACATATTATTCATAATATAGTGGAAACATGATTCTGCCAAATACATATCATTCACAACATTAAATACATAATAATAAAATAAAAATTAACTAGTTATTTTTGAATCTATCCTGCAAGTTTTAAAATTATAACTAGTATAGACAAAATGCTATTCATCTAATAAATAGTAGTTTTTTTGGCAATTTAAATTTATTCAGTTTTCAGATTTTTCATTCTATTGATTCTGCTATTTGATTCAGTTTTAAGTTTTTACTAAATTTTAGACCCATGCACTTGCACGAGTTTCTTTTTATAAAATATTTTTGGACCATAGCAAAAATCGGTTTATATTAAACTTTGATAAAAACAAAATTAACTTATATTATTAAATTCAAAATTGTGGCCTAAACTGAAAGTTTTTATTAGATTATACAAACTATTTTTACATTTTTGGTTTTATGTTCTTAAAATTATTTAGGTTTGATTTAAAAAAAAAATATTTTGATTAGCGGATTTTCTGTTAAGTATTGTAACAAATATTTTAAAATATTATGTGCTATAATGCAAGAGAGATTTCATTTGTTTGCAATTAAGATTTCAATATTAACTTATGCTTTGTTTGTTTTTGCATCCTTATACTTATTTGGATGCAAATACTCAAATATTGTTTTTTAAAAAAAAATTTAAATCACTATATGGATGTTGTATCTCGATACAAAATCTATAATATCTCAAAATTTGTATATTTAAGATACTAAAAAAATAGAGTTTAGATGCAGCATTTGAATCTTAAAAATTAAAAGACCAAAACACCATTTAATTTAAACCACAAAATCAAGTTTTTTTTTTTGTCAAAACCATAAAATCAGAGTTTTCTATCAAAATAAAAGCCGCATTTTCCCGCAAAATCGTAAAATCACGTTGTTGTACCAAAATCAGGAATTTTCGTAGAAACTGTAAAAATAGTATTTTCCATCAAACCGTATTTTCCTACCAAACTGTAAACCCACATTTTTTAAAACCAAAAATTATGTTTCCCCTCCCCCCAACACAATAAAACCGTATTCTATGAACAATTTTCTAAAATTACGTGTTTTTGTTGAACCTGCAAAATTGTGTTTCTTGTCAAACCCGCAAACCTGCATTTTTAATAAAATTCATAAAACTACATATTCCATCAAAACCTTTAAAACCCGCTAAAACATGTAAACCTCGCAAATTCATGTTTCCCATCAAATTCACAAACCCGTGTTTTTCCATAAAATTGTAAAATACGTAAAATCGTGTTGTACGACCAAATTTCTAAACTCATATGTTTCTGCCAAATCTGAAAAATCGAGTTTCCAAATGCACAAATCCGTATTTTCCCATATGACTACATATCCCCGCTAAAATCTGTAAAACCCATAAAATCCGTAAAATTGCGTTATTCGCATTCTGCAAACCCATTTTTCCTGTAATTTCTCTAAATTTTTAAAATCGTGATTTACAACCAAATTTCTAAAATTATGTGTTTATGCTAAATCTACAAAGGCACATTTCTTGTCAAATAGGCATTTTCTCATAAAAATATATTTTCCGTTAAAACTTCTAAAGTCCGCTAAAACTTGTAAAACCCGTAAAATCTACGAAATTGTGTTTGTCAAATTTGCAAACCCATTATTTCCCGCAAAAAATCATTTACGAACCAAGAAAAAAAAATTATTTACATAATATTTTTTTATAGTATGTATATATGTAGCCAGAAAATAATGATTATATATTCATTATTTACTATATTGTCATATTTAGTAAATATCATAGTAGCTTTTAGATATTTTAAAATAGTGATTTTTTTATAATATTATAGAGAAATAATTGATTATAATATAATATATAATTATACTAGTTATTCATGACATATATATGTGGTAATTATCTTAAGATATTATGGAAGATTTTAAAATAATTTCGAAATTAAATTAATTTGATTTTTATTAGTATCAGATATAATTTATTGGTATTATCTGTTAACAAACTAATTTAATTTAATTTAATTTAATTTAGTTTTAACAATTTAATGATATAACAAAATTACCTTTAATGAAATGATTAAATTTTCTAGTGAATCCAATAGCACATTTAGTAAATACCATGGTAGCTTTTGGACATTTCAAATTAATGATTCTCTTTTAATAGTATATATATATCCTATTGATTCCGCTATATTACAATTCAGCTATTCAGTTGACATAACAGTCGAATGGGTTTTTTCTCTATTAGAAGAATATATTTTTCTCTAAACTAGTTATAATTTTTAAACATGTGGAATAGATTGTAAAATAGCATGTTAATTTTTACTTTTTATCATTCAGTGCTTACTATTGTTAATGATATGCATCTAGTGGAATCACGATTTCGAAACGTAAAAAATCTACATACCTGTCATACCATTTAATCCCAATATATGTTGATATCTCCATAACTGAAACAACTCAAAATAACATTTTTTTACTTAAACTTTCTGAATTAATATCCAAGATCCCATGAAGTTAACACAAAAACTAGTTTTGTATGTTCGGACTTGGTTCTAATATGATATCAGATCTATTGTTATTATGTTATAATGGAGATTATGCTGTGCTATGTGCAGATTGTATATTTTTATTTTGTATTTATGTACTTTTAGTTATTAAATTGAATTTGATCCAACTAACAATCATTTGATTTGAAAGAAAAAGTGCAAATCATGCTTGAAAACAAAACCAAACAAAAAAACCAAATCTGTGTTAATGATACATAAGTTAAACTCTTACGGGGGAATTGCTAAAAGTAACCAAAAATTTGATTCTTTTTCCAAAACTAGGCTTCTTATTGTATGTTTGGCAAAAGTAACTTATAAGAGTAGTGAAATTACAACTCTCACATTTATGACCAAACAAAAAATGTTAGTCACAATGACTGTTTTATCCCGAAGAAGTCTACTCTCTAATAATTTTTTAAAAATTAATTAAAAAATCATAAAAAATAATTTTATAAAAAGATTAGGTACATAACTAAAACATATACATTTTTCATCTAATAAAAATAAAATTTTATACAAAGAAATCAATTTAAATCAACATAGATAAATTAGGTTAGAAACTAATACAACCATGTGAAGTTTGCTAGAGAAGTCTACTCAATCTCTAAATTTTAAATGTTAATACTAAAAATTATAAAAAATAATTTGTTAAGAAAATTATTTTATAGACACAACTAAAACATAAACAGTTAGCATCTATATAAAATAACACTACAAAAATATAATGTAATTAGTATCAGTTTTTTCTTAAGAGGAAATGCTCTAAAATGACTCAGAATGATAAAATAATGTGAAATGGATACCCCATTGAGGGGAAATTGTGAAAATGACCCCTTTTTATAATTTTTATAAATATCAGCACTATTCTTCTAACTACTGTTATTTGTAGACTAATGGTAGACTAATTGCATACTAATGACAGACTAACGGTAGACTGAATGCAGACTACTGACAGACTGATTGGTCAAATAATTGAATATAGACTACTGACAGACTAATGGTATACTATTTGCAAATTACTGGCAGACTAATAGTAGATTGAAAGCAAACTAGTGGACCTTTCTTATGAAAATATCATGTTTCATAATAAAATTGCCAAGTAGGTTATTTCAAAAATTATCCTTTTTCTAAGTTTAGCATCAGTTTTTAAATGATGTTAGAATTTTAACATTAATTTAAAAAGTGAAGCTAGAAGTGTTGAAGCTAAAAATATTTAACATCACTTCTGTAATATTTATTTTTAGCGTCAGTATTTTAACATTATTTTAGAAAGTGATGCAAAAATTATATTTTGCATCACATTTTTGAAGTGATGCTAAATGTTTTGTAGAATCAGTTCTATAAATGACATTAAATCTTCTTAATTAATTATTAATTTTTTGGTTTTTTAAAATTAGGCTACTATAGTAATAAATATTCATGATGAATAACAAAAATTTAAATATATCAAATTTAATCAAAGAATATTTGTTTACAATTTGATAACCAACCATAAAAACATGACTATCTTAAAATTATCCAGTTCTAAAGTAGATTACTATTTGAATTTTCAAAAAAACTTGCAGCTCAATTTTGCTTCATAATCATCCATCTCTTGTCTAATCCTTAATCCCTGAAACATAATGAATATAAACAAGCTTACTAGTGGTGTTTTAAATAAAATTGAACATAGATAGATCTGACGTATATAGCTTACCTTCCAGTTTTGCCATCCGAGTTAACAAATCGATAAAGAATATCATGCACCTTTCCCAATTCTTCTTCTAGATAATTGACTTTGTTCCTCAAAAAAGTATTTTCTGCTTCATCGGTTGTAGGACGACTCTGAAAGAAAGTTAAAAGGAGTAGGGCAACACAACGAACACCGTTCTAAACGTTCAGCTCCAAATACTTGATGTATCTTGAATCTTTATGTCAGCAAATTTTTCCTTAAAATAAAAAAAATAAAGTGTTCATAAGAAAGATAAACTAATCGAAAGATAATAACAGAGCATCAAAGCAATCTCATTATTCAAAACAACACACATGAGCAGCCAATCACGAAGCATCAATGACAGTGGTCCCATGGTCAAAGAGGAATTACTCATTTCAGATGACAATCAAATCACGAAGCATCAAAGACAATGAAGAGACAAAAC